CGCCCCCATCAGATCCCTAAATATATCCAGCTGGGCCTCAACGTGAATCCATTCCTCGTACAAATCTCGCAAAACATCAGGAAAAGCAAAAGTACGGGAAGAGGACGGCTGAGCCAACTACTGCGCCTTCTCGACCTCGAGAGCAGCAACTCGATCATTAAGGCCCGAAGCCTCTTTTTCCAACTCCCCTATCCGCTCCTCTCTGAGCCTGGCCGTCTCTAAAGCACACTCCCGCTCAGAACGAAGAATGCGGATCACGATCTCCAGAGCCTCCGCTTTCCTCGCAGCCAACAATTGGGCCAACTCCACCTTCCCTAAACCCGATGCCTTCTCAGCAACCTCGCCACTCAGAGCGTCCACTTTGAGTTGACACTCATCAAGTTCGGCGCGCAACGAAACCACCTGGGCTTGAAGATCGGCACATTGGGCCTCGACCCCCTTGCTCACCTCAAGTTCTTCTTCTTTGTCCCTCAACGCCCCCTCGAGAACGCTACATTTTTCGATGACCCTCACCAACTCGTCATCCTTCTCCTTCAGTTCGCCTCGGAGAGCCTGGAAATTGTCGCTCCCGCTGAACCGCCTGCAGATCTCATGGTGCTTATCACGGTATTCACGATATTTCCGCTCCATCTTCTAGAAAATGGCCTTATGCCTCTCCTCTCGTCGGGCGCTCTCGATCTCCAAAATCACGGTCTGAAAGAAAGACAGAAAACGAGGAGTAAGAACGAAACTTTGAACTCGACATAAAAAACGGAGAGAGATCGAAAAGCTTACCCTAAAAGCGAGGCCGGCTATGCTCCTCGATAAAGTGGCATCCTTAAGCTTCTCAAGGGTTTTACCCTCCACATAGGAACAGAGGGACCAAGAGAAGGGACCACGTCCTCCGTGTCAACCAGTAAATCCCGGTCCAAGGGGATCACAATAGTCTGCGTGGTCCCCTCCAATCTCACTTCAAGTCAGGTAAGTCCTTCCCCCATCATCCTCACTTCCTCGGCATCCATATCGGAGACCATCTCGTAACCTTCTTCGGCTACACTTTTTCCCTTTATGTCAACCCTGGAAGAAGGATCCTCGGCTGGTGGCGAGGCAGATGGCTCATCCTGCTGTAAGTCGTCAGGAACTCTCGCCGATGACCCTTCAAAATCCATCATGGTCTCAGGGAGAGACGTACCCTCCTCGGCTCCCGACGACGGCGGAATCGTGGGCGATAATTTGGCGTCATCTTCAAGTTCTATGGTCGGCGTTTCTCGGATGACGAAATCCACAATCGCCGAACTCCCCGCCCGGACAGCTCCTTCGCCGACATCACAGATCGCCTCTTACGGGGAAGCAAGTTATCACCATTCGGCGACGATTCCACCTCATCATCCTCGTCTACTAGATGACGCATAGGGGAAGCCGAGAGTCCCGTTACAGGTGCAGTCGACGACCGAGCAGACCTCACCGCAGCAGAAGGAACAAAAGCAGCCTTCCTCTTTCGAAATGCCGGAGCAGGAGCCCTCGGCCTTCTCGAAGATCCTCGGGCTGAAAAAGAAAAAAATAGAAGACTGTCACTCCCTGTACAAAACCGTAACGAGCAGGCGACCATGAGGTCAAAACGGTAAGATAAAAGATAATTACTATATATGTATAAATAAATACATATAGACGAACTCACCGGTCACGGAAGGCGCATGCCCGAATTTCTTGATAAAGGCCGGCCATTCACGAATCCCCACTATGTGAGGCAAGACCTGGCTGACCCAGTCATGAATGTCCCCGACCAAAGGAAGGGGCGAAGTCTCAGCTACACGAAGAAGGGACGGAATGTCATATTACGACTAAAACGGGCAAAACAAATGCTTGGCAAAAAGATACTTACGAGCGTAATTCCAAGCCTCAGGGAATCCGCTCACGTTGACCACCACGTCCTCCGTCTTGACGAAGAAGTAGTTGAGCCAGAACTAGCGATTTGGCTTATCGTCCATCTTCACCACCAGACTTTTACTTCCTCGGTGGCGGAGGTGCAACATCGCCCCCTATAGAAACTAGGGGCGAAGAGATGTATCAGGTGGCGAAGTGAGACTCCATGGCCAGCCAACTTCGCATATTTTGTCAACATACGGATAAGCTTGTAGATGTAAGCGGAGAGTTGGGCCGGGAAAATGCCGTAGTAGCGGCAAAATTCCTCCGCCAATGGGGGAAGAGAAAAGGAATAGCCGACATAGAACGGATACACATAGAACGCGCAATATCCGGGGCGGTGTATCTGTACCATATCGCGCCCTGCTGGAATCAGATCGATATGAGCAGAAATTTTGAACCTTGCCTTAAGCTCAGCGAGATCGACCTCGTTCATCACTGACTCCGAGGCCTCATGATCATCTTTAGGCAACTTCGAAAAGTCGGATCTAGCCTTTTCACTGCGAGGGATTATTTCCTCCACCGTAGGAAACTTCTCGTCTTCAATGGCAACAGAAACACCGTTGCCGTGAGAAGGCATGCGCACCGCCAAAGGGGTAGGGTTAGTCGCCATGCCGAAACCATAGGGTGTGTTAACCATATTCTTGAGAGAAGATGTTTTAAGCACAGAAGGGTTGGAAGCAACTGAAATCACTGGAATTAGGGGAGTGGATACGCAATGACGACGTAAAAAGGAGACAATGGTTCAATATGGAGAATGAAGAAGGAGACACAAGGATTCGATATTAAGAGTATGCAAAACAAACACAAATGGCCTCAGGTCCTTATTTATAAGAGTTCAAGCATCAGGACCAAGAAATCAGGCCATCATTACCCAGCGCAGGTATCGAAATGGCATAGGCGCGGGAAACGACGCAAAGCATCGGGAAAACGCGTCATAATGACTCATGATATCATGATGTCAGTCTGAAACAATGCGGCCCCAAAGGTTGCAGCTCACGAAAAGTCATGTTGCCACCTCGTTTGAAGCGCCACTATCCTACTTGCTCGCCCAATTTTGTCAACCACGATAAATAGAGTCCGCTCATCAAGGCCGTCTGGGCTCGGCCTCAATAAGCGGAGGGACTAACTATATGGGCCAAAATCCGCCCTAAGGGTATTTGGTCTAATATGACATTAAGGAAAGAGTCGGTCGAGGTCGACCAGAAGGCAGCAATATTCGTGGCTGAGGTGTCAACCATGGTCGAGGTCAAGCATTGCGTAAAGGACAATAACGGTTAGTTTTGAGAATAGGACATTAGAAAGAATATTCTAGTGAATATTCCCTACATTTATACTATTAGAGTTTACTTGAGATATGTGTTGAATATTAGAGTTTATTGTTAGTTATATCTGCATTAATGTTCATGCTTTAAGAGTATTTTGCACTTATTGTCATCAATCATTTACGGGATCTGTCCCCATCTCCTGCACGTTTTCGAGATTAGCATCTGGAGTTATTATCCTTAACTAGATTTAACCCATTATTACGTAAATTTAATAGTTTAACCGGAAGTTACACTTTTTGGTCAAACGCAATACCAACAATATAATGCACCTGCATAAGTTGATTCAACAATTTTACATTATAACCAAACTCAGCCATCAAATATGTTTCATATAAGTAGGTAATGTTGTCCATTGTCCAACTTCAGGCATTTTAGGACAGAAGCACCTAAAATTAAAGACACATCTCTACAAACAAAATAACTATGAGAAACCTTACCCGCAAAGAACAGATAATATCTGCAGAGCTTGTCACAAGCTTGCACCTGACTACTTACTTTTAAGCATGCATGAGAAAATCAGATAAGTTACTAATTACATGCATGTAGAAAATCCAACACGAAACGACCTAAAGAACATAGAATATAACAAATACCCAAATTTGATTCAAATTTCACAAGTTTATGTTAGAGAATTAATTTCTGTATCAATAGGAAACTATCTAGTAAAATCTTTGTTAGAAAAGTCACTATCTTGTATAGCACTGTAATTCCCCTCCAAGCAAACTGACACGGGAAAGAAAAAGCAAAAAAACACAATAAAATTAAAATTTTCATTTTGTAATTTTAGTTTGGCTTGTGCGAAGGTGGACCAAGGGTTCTTCAGAAAGTACGGAAAAAGGGGGAAAATAAGAAAGATATGGTAAGAGAAGTTACCAGCTAGCTAATCGCCGGCGAGAAAACTCCAAATCGTACCGGCAAAGCAGATTAGCAGTTGAATTTAGAAATTTAAGGACAAAGCCCCAAACTTTTAGCACCGAAACAGGAGTATACAAAGGAATTCAAGAAAATGAAAGAGCATTCGCGAACAACTATGAAAAATGTAAGTGGAAGTGGCTAAACACAAGTGGCCAAAAAATGAGAGAAGTGCTACTACACGTGTTTAGAGACAAAAGGCGAACAAATAAAATAAGATCAAGATCAGGTAAAAACGAGTTGCACGAACCAACTATGCCGCTATGGAAAGACTATAGCTTTCTTTGTATCCATAAAGAACTGCTTTGAATTCTTTACTAACAAAATTTAAACAATATAGCTAGGATTATTATTGTCGGCAAGGTACAACCCAATAAATTTACCATATTCCTAACTTGGAGAAGTTATGAACTGATATGAAATAAATATTAATGTAATCGACTTTTATATTTCATTAGTTAGTTCATGTGAATGAAACATATGCGGAAAGACATACAGTTAGCAAGCTATAAGTTCAAACTCGCATTTTTAGTTAAATAACAATTTGACCATATGTATCCAGAACTCCATACAACGATCTTACCTCATTCTAAATATACATGGTGTTTTATTGGTTTCTAAAAGCCCTATACATGTACAGTGTTGGAGACAAGGAAGATATAATGGCAAGGCACAGATGGGAAAGTTCTCCGCAAACAACTTAATCACCTTGTACCAGTATACGATAACATAGTACCAATCGCAAAGATTCAGCCGCAGTCTACTGTATGTATTACATACATGCAAATATATGTGGGGTATTTTAGGGTTACAGTTACAACTCAATAAATCTACTTCTATCCCCCTTCACAGATACAAATCTTTTGCATCGGAGGTAAAATGTTGCTACCGGCTACGGACCAAGAGCTCTATGAACTATTATGTTCCCACTGCGGGCAATAATACAGAATCGGTGTAAGGAGAATTGTTCATTGTGCAAGCTGCAATAGACGTGCGATGTTAATACCCAGGTATCACAATTTGAATTCCAAGCTCGCTAATATCTGTTAATGTAACATCTTTAAGTCCAAATGTTTTCTTCTCTCATTCTTTTTATGCAAATCAAATAACACATAAAAACTTGCATATCAGGGCCTGCTTTGATGTATAATTGCAGATTGCAGTGGAACAGTTGTTGCAACCTTATCAAGCCAATTAGGAGAGAAATTTCTTGAAATTACCTCTGCAGAAATGTATGAAATAATCTCTGTAAAGGTATGTTAGTGAGAATAAGAGACTATATTACTCATTTCTGAGCATTCATTGTACTTTAGAAAAACATTCTACCCTTGTTGAGATGCCATTGAGATAAAAAACTTGAAATAGTCTCGGCTAAAGAGCTTTCACAACCCATGGTGTCATTGTTTAGGTTTCCTTGGTTTACTACCAAATGCAAACTTGATTTGGGCCAGAGATGCACCTTTAAGTTATAACTCAGTAAACATACAAAAGAGCTATTGTACTCGCGTAAAGTCTATTTTTACTGAAACTGACAATAAATAGAAAAATCCAACATACATATTCTCAATCAACATGTGCACATACAAGAGTCAGAAAGAAAGGACTTAATAGCATCAGAAGAAGATAATTGTCACATAGTTCAGTTGAATAAATTCTTTTCTAAATTAGCCAATATACATTGCTGGTTGCCCTGCAGTTGAGGTGAGAAATCAAATAATTCAGGTCAATAAAATGTTACTGTTGATAATTGATGTTTGGCATATTTCGATATGTGTTGATGNTTAGTCACTTTATTACTTGACGACCGCGTATACTTGCGTGAGTGTGTTTGGTCGCAACAATAATATATTTGAAACATGAAATCTAAAAAATTTCGGCTTGGTTTTGCTTTGTATGTTCGTTTTGTATATTTGATGTGCAAATGAAATAGTGTTTATCAAACTAATTCAATCTCTTAAAAAGCTTGGAAATATTCTGGAAAAACAAAATTGATGTCGCAGACGTTATTGCTACCCAAATGGATAAGTTTAATAAGACACTAATTTTATATCACGGACCAAACTTCATGTACATTTTAAGCTTCTCACAAAATCTCTCCAATGAGCTCATCGGGACGAAACCTCAAATAACAAAGCTTTAGAATGATTACCTGAAACTCATACATTTCAATTTCATAGACTAACCATACGACATACTAGAAGTTATCAGGTTCGGGCCCGGGCTCAGCACGGCCATTTTTCACTAGTCTAATATATAATATACTAGTAAAAGGTGTATATTATGGACTTTTATTATTAATATCGGTGTTGATAATGTATTTTTTCCAACCGGCCGATGATGTGTTAATATTGTGAAATTCTTTGCTTATGTTTGTTTCTATCTGTCTTTATTTTAAAATGCCAACCTAATTTAAACATTATAAATAACTTTTTAAATTTCAATGTATTCGTTGTTTGATATTAAAATCTTGTAAGAATTAAAAATTATAAGTACGTTCTTATAAATTCTCATAGTATGGTATTTTGGCAATTTATTTTTTTCCGAATGGCTTTATCACTCTAATTTGTTACAAGCTAAGAAGGTTGTATTATTTTTGGTAATATGAAAATCTTCTTTTCCCATAATTTTGATTACTATAAGCCAGTTGCGATTTTATTTGATGTTAGGTTTGTTGAGGGGGGTGGAGTTGGATTTGGTTTTCTCATTAGTTAGCTTTTGATTTTCTTAAAATTTAGAATTTTGGATTCTTTCTTTTTTGGTGTTAATGGTTGGGTTGTGATTTTTGATGGATTTTGATTTTGATATTTTTTGGGCTTTCTTATTCTTCCAGTAGTTAGCTTTTGATTTACTTGAAATTTGGATTCTTGGGTTACTATCTGATTATATCTGGTCAAAAGAGGATACCAAACTGCTTTAATATTTTGTTTCCCGTTCTACCTTTCTTTTAGAGAAAATGACGCTCTTCTTCTCATTTTTGTTTATGTGATTGCTTCTTCTTCATCATCTTTTTTTTCGGGTCCTAATGATAATTTATAAGCACATATCTTTGGAAATGGGTATTGGTGGTGATTTATATTTTAATGGTATTTGGAAGATATAATATAATTTCATATAAAAGTTTTATATACACAGTGTATAAAAGTTGTATATGCACTGTTATATGTATATAATTACACTATATATAATAATATTATTATAAAAATTATACATATACTGTTTTATACTGTATAAAAATTATATATACGCTATTACATTGTATAATTTTTATATATAAAGTGTATCATGTATTTTTCAGTGTATATTATAAAAATTATATATAAACTATTATAAAATGTATAAAATTTGTATATATACTATTACATTGTATAAATTTTGTATATAAAGTGTATCATGTATTTTTCAGTGTATATTATAAAAATTATATATAAACTATTATAAAATGTATAAAATTTGTATATATACTATTACATTGTATAAATTTTGTATATAAAGTGTATCCTCTATATTTTAGTGAATCCCTAATGTATTGTTAGTGTATATTCATGGCTCCGACTTCTTTGCAGCAACCTCACAAATGTATATATAATGTATATATGTTATATAATAGGTGTATATGTACAGTTATATAATTTATATACATTATTTATACAATGTAAATATTGTTGGTCATATAATGGTGTTTTTCTGGCTATTTTGGAGGTTGGAACTCCATGATTCTTTTGGGATAAATTTATGTGCATTTGCTGTGAAGAAGTGAAGGGTAAAGTATATTTCTGCAGGTGGTTATTGCTGCTATTTTCTTCTTATTATTTATATATAAGATATATAATTAGTGTATCTCATATATAATAATTTCATATTTAGTGTATATGTCGTATAATCTATGTATCTGTAAACACTTTGAGTTTTTATAAAGTATACACTAACTATACAATATATATAATTCATTATACAATTTTAACCATGAGAATTTTTTAGTCTTTGGGTCATTTTCGGTGAGCAAATAAAAGAGAAAGAGATTTGTAGGTGTTGATAGTGATCGGCAATGGCTAAGGTCACCGATGAGGAAGAGTTCTAGGTCCTTTGATTTTTCTATATTAGGTATTGATAGTGATATGCTTTTCTTTGTTTTGGAGATTTATAAGAAAGAATATTTTCGGAACAAAAGCATTTCAAAAGACAAATTAATTCCAATTTAAAACAGAAAATTTATTTCATTTCCAGATTTAAAAAATATTTCCTTACCATCCCTGTTCCTAATACCCAAGTTCAAGTATAACCAACCCTAAACAGACCAGACCAAACACAAACTTTCTTTTATTCAAAACCCAAATGGCCAAGATAAGAAACCACCATATCATGAGCCAAACCCAAAGAATTAAGCATAAAATACGTAGATCTGTCATTAATCCCAGTTAAAAAAAGAATGAAGGAGACCCATGTAAAACAAAGAAAGACTAGTTATTCAACTAGCGAAATTGAAAAAATACCTTAATAAAAAGAGGAGAAGAAGAAACCCAACTGTCACGACCCAAAATCTCGTCCGTCGTGATGGCGCCTATCTCAATACTAGGCAAGCCGACAATCCCAATAAACCACCATATCTTTTAAGTATGAAAACATAATATCTAAATTTAGCGGAAGAAAAACTCACAAATACATATATAAATACTCCCAAAATCCGGTATCACTGAGTGCATGAGCATCTAATATGAATACAAGTCTGAAAAATACGGTCCATAATAGTCTGAGACCAAACGCAGTAAATAAGGAGATAGGGAAGGAGAGACAAGGTCTGCAGAACACGACAACTACGTCTAAATCTCCGGAAAATAAATTAACTGTGCGAGAGAATCAACACCCGCTATGTCCAAAAGCACCTGGATCTGCACACGAAGTGCAGGGTGTAGTATGAGTACAACCAACTCAGCAAGTAACAATAATAAATTAGGAACTGAAGATAGTGACGAGCTACACACTTATAGTTCACTTTCAGTAATTCTAGCAAAGAATAGACATGCTTTCAAATCTAGCAGTTTAAGTCAAATCAATTTTATACAGTTCAAGTTCATGTAATCCGGATATAAAATCTTTTAGAGAATTTTACAACAGTGACAGACAACAACTAAGTGCAACAACAAATGAAAAACAAGTACAATCTCTTAGGGCAACAATCACTCAACTCGTCACAACAGCTCAATCACTCGGCTCTCAACCCTCAACACTCACACTCAATGGGTACCCGCGCTCACTAGGGGTGTACAGACTCCGGAGGAGCTCCTACAGCCGAAGCACTATAATCTGCACGGACAACTCACGTGCCATAGTATAAATATCTGGATCCGCACGGACAACTCACGTGCTATAGTATAATATAAGGATCCGCACGGACAACTCACGTGCTGCACGGATAACTCACGTGCTGCACGGATAACTCACGTGCTGCACGGATACCTCATGTGCTATAGTATAATATAAGAATCTGCACGGACAACTCATGTACTGCACGGACAACTCACGTGCTATAGTATAATATAAGGATCTGCACGGACAACTCATGTGATGCACAGATAACTCACGTGCTATAGTATAATATCTCACAATCAGGCCCTCGGCCTCACTCAGTCATAAATCTCTCCAGTCTCTCGGGCTCTCATCAATCATGGAATCAGCCCAAACAACAATGATATGATGCATCAATAATGAACAATAGAGACTGGGATAAAATAAACAAGTAAACTGTGACTGAGTACAAAACATAATTTAAGCAGATAGTTCAACATGTACACGACCTCAGTGGGTCCCAACAGTACCAACATTTAGCCTAAACATGGTTTCTAACATGACTTATAGTCAAATTTCTACAACACATAGAGAGCACATAGTTATTAATAAGTTATTCAACTTTACAGTTTTCACGGGATGGACCCAGTCACAATCCCCTCGGTGCACGCCCACACGCCCGTCACCTAGCATGTGTGTCACCTCCAAAATAGTCACATGACCCAAAATCCGGGGTTTCATACACTCAGGACCAGATTTAAAACTGTTACTTATCTCAGAGTGTGAAATTCTTTACTTTGCTATGCCCTTGCCTCGCAAATCGGCCTCTGAATGCCTCGAATCTAATCACAATAATTTGTTTTAGTCAATAAAATTTATTAAAATTAATTCCATATGAAATCACAATTTTCTATAAAAATCCGAAATTTAACTCAAAAATTGTCCATGGGGCCCACATCTCAGAATTCCGATGAAACCCACAAAATCCGATAACCCATCCAATTA